TATATATATATATATATAGCAATTTACCGCTCCTGTTAAGCCCTCCTCAAGTGAAGACCAAAGAGTGTAAAGACCATCGACTCTACCGTGCGACTCCACCAGACAGAGACACCGGCAAGGGATATACGTATAGCTTTTGATTCATCCTTTTTCCTACTACTTGTTTCACTTCTGTTTCAGTTTTTATATAGGCAGCACAATCCTAAAAACCTGCACACTTATGCACACAATGCACGCCTATGTCTGCTAATACACTACTTTATTTTTCTGTTGGTCTCTGAAATTGCCAGTCTGCTATAAACAAAGCTGATTTCATTACTTCTATTATTAGTCATTCAAAGCTAAATCTCATGGCCCTGACAGAGACCTGGATCAAACCAGAGGACGCTGCTACACCTGCATCTCTCTACAATAATTTCTCATTTTCCCACTCCGCCCGTTTGACTGGAAGAGGTGGAGGTACTGGTCTGCTTATCTCTAATAATTGGAAAAGTAATCCTTTACCATCTTTGGGTATCAACAGCTCCTTTGAATCTCATTCAGTTACTATTACCTACCCTCTTAAAATCCATTTTGTAGTTGTTTATCGACCCCCAGGACCACTAGGTAATTTCTTGGATGAATTAGATGTGCTGCTTTCAACCTTTCCTGAGGATGGTACTCCCCTAGTTATGCTTGGAAGCTTCAACATCCACCTAGATAAACCTCAGGCTGCAGACTTCCACACTCTGCACTCATTACTTCAGACTTATGTGCCCTCTAGAAGCTTGCGTTCTGTAAGTTAACATCACTTTATTGTGCCATCCCAAAGAAGCACAAAATCACTTTTACGGACTTTTAAACTTTTAAATTCCTCCTGGTGGAATGACCTGCCCAACTCAATCCGAGCAGCTGAGTCATTAGCCATCTTCAAGAATCGGCTAATCGGCTATCTCTTCCATCTTTATTTGACCCTCTAACTCTAGCACTCTCTATTCTAATTCTATTATAAAAAAATAAAAAAAAACACTTGTCCCTTTTAGACTTGCACTCTATTCATTTGCTGCTTGTTTTCTTAAAAAAAAAACTAACACTTGCTTTCTAATCTTTTTGTATTCGATCTGTTTTCTTTTCATTTATTATACAATTAACAAAAGCAAAAATGACCCCTAGCACAAGCTTGCTCTATTCTTTTTCTGTTCTGTTTTCTTTTTATTTATTATATTATTTAAAAAACCCTTGCTACGTGTACTGCTTTAAGCTAACTGAGACTTGTTATATGCTAAATGCTAAATGACTAAATGTAAATGTATAATGAAACCATTATACCATATTACAACAAGCAAATTAAACAAGACATGTTAAATGAACTAGATCAGACACTTTCCATAAACCCTAACCCTAACTACCTAACCCTAACTTATCCCTCCTAAACTCAGAGAGTTTAATGGTTAGGAGCCATGACATGGATGTTGACACAACATTTAGTTAAGTTACTTTGCTGGTCCAGAACATCTGCATATTTTATATTGTGAAAATATATTTTGAAAAATATATTTTTTCATACCCTACTTTATGAAATCAGAAATCTCGATGAATAGAACCCAAGGCAGACAGATAGTGACTTAAAATTGATTCAACATTTAGGTAATGTACTTAGCTTACATATTTTATGAAAACAACTTAAGCAAAATAAGCACACTTATTGATTTCTGAATTTAAATAAATAACCTCAAAGTTTGGGTCTTTTTGAGTTATGGCAACTTCTAATGAAATTATGTTTAACCTACAAGCTACATTGAGTTGGAGGAACCCAATTTTGGAGCAAAATTAAGTATCAGGATGTGATGATCAATATTATTGTGTCATTAGATCTCATCAAAATAATGTTTGTAAGGTTTATTTAAATCAATTAATTAGAATGTGTAACTTGCAGTCATACATGTAATGAAGTTGTGGTAATCAAGTGTGAGTCCTGAACAAGTCCTGAAAAGTGAAGCCAAAATGTTTGATCGCCCAAGGTGGCTGGACCCAGTATAGGTCATAAACCCACCCTCTCCATGTAATCTATGGGACGCGAGACAAACTAAATCAAATTACACTTCAAATAATGTTTTTTTCCAAAGATGGTTCTGTCATTTTAGGTAATTCTTATCATGCTGATGTATGTCCAAGTGTTCATTTTCTAATAAGTTTGCTTTTAGTTTTAGTTATTTGATGCTAAAAAAGCTCATGATTGTGAGCATGCAATTGGGTCTGCGGGAATTTGAGTGGGACTTTGATACCCCTGTCCACCTTATGATCACTACTACGCAGACTCGGGCTCCAAATTAATCGCTGCTTTAACGACACTGGCTCCAAATTACATCATTTTCGAAAGATGACAGTGGCTATACTAAGATGTTTTGGCTTCACTTTTCTATAGTCGAAGGAAGTGGAAACGAGTCGTCCATCTTTTTTTGCAGTCTATGGTGGTAATAGGTTCCCTGAATTTCCTTTTATAAGGCCAGTGAACTAGATCAGTCACTTTTCATTTACCCTAACTCCATCTACCCTAACCCACCTCTCTAAAAGGGATTGACGGTTAGGACCCAAGGCAGACAGATCTAGTGGCTGGGTGTAGATTCAAATTTTAGTTATTTTACTTTGCTTGTCTAGAACATCTGCATTTTTTATATCATGAGTAAAACATGCAAAGTAAGTAATGCATCTCAAATGAGCTAGGTCAGTCCCTTTCCATAAACCATTTAACAAATAAACTTGTTTCTTTAATTCTAACCTGGCGGGAAAGAACAATTAGGTTATTCAAACAATAGACTCCCATTTTAAATGAGTAGTTATTATTTTATAATACTTTTACTTCTTTAAACACAAAGCCAAGCCACATGCATGCAATTAATCACAGTTTTCATTTAGTGATTAATTTAGTTACCAAGGATCAAGTCAAGGCTTCTAGAGAACATCTTTCCATTCTTATATAAGTCGTACATGGACTGAGTTTCTCGTTTACGTCTTTACATAATTTTTGCTCCTTTCATTTTCCAGTGTTTTTTCACTCTCTGATCTGTTACTGGAGTTAATAAGTCACTCCACTCTGCTGCTGTCTACTGTGGGCATTCATAACAATGTCTCTTCTTTTGTCTGGAAATGTATTTTTCCTCAGAGCCAGCTATTACAGGAAAGGAGGCCGTGCTATGCTGCCAGTAAAATGGATGCCTCCCGAGGCCTTTATGGAGGGAATCTTTACCTCAAAAACAGATACATGGTGAGCGCTGTAATATAATTACATATTTAAAAGATTCATTTGCTTCAAGTTCTGTCATATGCTATTGCAACCCCACTGTTTTTCACACTCTAATACGATTCTTTCCATAATTACTATGCTTTCATCTCTCTACTCTACTCTTCACTTTCTCTCCTTTCGACTTGTTTTTCAGGTCATTTGGTGTTCTGCTGTGGGAGATCTTCTCACTGGGCTATATGCCATACCCCAGCCGCAGTAACCAAGAGGTGTTGGAGTTTGTTACTAATGGAGGCCGGATGGACCCACCTAAGAACTGCCCTGGGCCAGTGTGAGTGGACTCTTAAATTCAAATATCTTATGTGCCCTCTAGAAGCTTGCGTTCTGTAAGTTAACATCACTTTATTGTGCCATCCCAAAGAAGCACAAAATCACTTTTACGGACTTTTAAATTAAATGTACCCTCCTGGTGGAATGACCTGCCCAACTCAATCCGAGCAGCTGAGTCATTAGCCATCTTCAAGAATCGGCTAACAACACATCTCTTCCATCTTTATTTGACCCTCTAACTCTAGCACTCTCTATTCTAATTCTATTATAAAAAAATAAAAAAAAACACTTGTCCCTTTTAGACTTGCACTCTATTCATTTGCTGCTTGTTTTCTTAAAAAAAAAACTAACACTTGCTTTCTAATCTTTTTGTATTCGATCTGTTTTCTTTTCATTTATTATACAATTAACAAAAGCAAAAATGACCCCTAGCACAAGCTTGCTCTATTCTTTTTCTGTTCTGTTTTCTTTTTATTTATTATATTATTTAAAAAACCCTTGCTACGTGTACTGCTTTAAGCTAACTGAGACTTGTTATATGCTAAATGCTAAATGACTAAATGTAAATGTATAATGAAACCATTATACCATATTACAACAAGCAAATTAAACAAGACATGTTAAATGAACTAGATCAGACACTTTCCATAAACCCTAACCCTAACTACCTAACCCTAACTTATCCCTCCTAAACTCAGAGAGTTTAATGGTTAGGAGCCATGACATGGATGTTGACACAACATTTAGTTAAGTTACTTTGCTGGTCCAGAACATCTGCATATTTTATATTGTGAAAATATATTTTGAAAAATATATTTTTTCATACCCTACTTTATGAAATCAGAAATCTCGATGAATAGAACCCAAGGCAGACAGATAGTGACTTAAAATTGATTCAACATTTAGGTAATGTACTTAGCTTACATATTTTATGAAAACAACTTAAGCAAAATAAGCACACTTATTGATTTCTGAATTTAAATAAATAACCTCAAAGTTTGGGTCTTTTTGAGTTATGGCAACTTCTAATGAAATTATGTTTAACCTACAAGCTACATTGAGTTGGAGGAACCCAATTTTGGAGCAAAATTAAGTATCAGGATGTGATGATCAATATTATTGTGTCATTAGATCTCATCAAAATAATGTTTGTAAGGTTTATTTAAATCAATTAATTAGAATGTGTAACTTGCAGTCATACATGTAATGAAGTTGTGGTAATCAAGTGTGAGTCCTGAACAAGTCCTGAAAAGTGAAGCCAAAATGTTTGATCGCCCAAGGTGGCTGGACCCAGTATAGGTCATAAACCCACCCTCTCCATGTAATCTATGGGACGCGAGACAAACTAAATCAAATTACACTTCAAATAATGTTTTTTTCCAAAGATGGTTCTGTCATTTTAGGTAATTCTTATCATGCTGATGTATGTCCAAGTGTTCATTTTCTAATAAGTTTGCTTTTAGTTTTAGTTATTTGATGCTAAAAAAGCTCATGATTGTGAGCATGCAATTGGGTCTGCGGGAATTTGAGTGGGACTTTGATACCCCTGTCCACCTTATGATCACTACTACGCAGACTCGGGCTCCAAATTAATCGCTGCTTTAACGACACTGGCTCCAAATTACATCATTTTCGAAAGATGACAGTGGCTATACTAAGATGTTTTGGCTTCACTTTTCTATAGTCGAAGGAAGTGGAAACGAGTCGTCCATCTTTTTTTGCAGTCTATGGTGGTAATAGGTTCCCTGAATTTCCTTTTATAAGGCCAGTGAACTAGATCAGTCACTTTTCATTTACCCTAACTCCATCTACCCTAACCCACCTCTCTAAAAGGGATTGACGGTTAGGACCCAAGGCAGACAGATCTAGTGGCTGGGTGTAGATTCAAATTTTAGTTATTTTACTTTGCTTGTCTAGAACATCTGCATTTTTTATATCATGAGTAAAACATGCAAAGTAAGTAATGCATCTCAAATGAGCTAGGTCAGTCCCTTTCCATAAACCATTTAACAAATAAACTTGTTTCTTTAATTCTAACCTGGCGGGAAAGAACAATTAGGTTATTCAAACAATAGACTCCCATTTTAAATGAGTAGTTATTATTTTATAATACTTTTACTTCTTTAAACACAAAGCCAAGCCACATGCATGCAATTAATCACAGTTTTCATTTAGTGATTAATTTAGTTACCAAGGATCAAGTCAAGGCTTCTAGAGAACATCTTTCCATTCTTATATAAGTCGTACATGGACTGAGTTTCTCGTTTACGTCTTTACATAATTTTTGCTCCTTTCATTTTCCAGTGTTTTTTCACTCTCTGATCTGTTACTGGAGTTAATAAGTCACTCCACTCTGCTGCTGTCTACTGTGGGCATTCATAACAATGTCTCTTCTTTTGTCTGGAAATGTATTTTTCCTCAGAGCCAGCTATTACAGGAAAGGAGGCCGTGCTATGCTGCCAGTAAAATGGATGCCTCCCGAGGCCTTTATGGAGGGAATCTTTACCTCAAAAACAGATACATGGTGAGCGCTGTAATATAATTACATATTTAAAAGATTCATTTGCTTCAAGTTCTGTCATATGCTATTGCAACCCCACTGTTTTTCACACTCTAATACGATTCTTTCCATAATTACTATGCTTTCATCTCTCTACTCTACTCTTCACTTTCTCTCCTTTCGACTTGTTTTTCAGGTCATTTGGTGTTCTGCTGTGGGAGATCTTCTCACTGGGCTATATGCCATACCCCAGCCGCAGTAACCAAGAGGTGTTGGAGTTTGTTACTAATGGAGGCCGGATGGACCCACCTAAGAACTGCCCTGGGCCAGTGTGAGTGGACTCTTAAATTCAAATATGCAAGATATTTATACAGCACTTACATATAACAGAAACGGATTGTTGGCCAGCAATAATCTGTATTCTTAAATGTCAAGAATCTATTATTGTCTAATGAATATGAATATTGATTCTCAATTTTTCAGTCCTCATTAAACTTTCCACTGTTGTATGTACTCTTAAAATAAAGTCTTCAAATAATACTAATAATAATCAAACTTCTGAAGTTTTGATTTAATTAAGTTCCTAATCTAACCTGGGGACCATCTTGCAGAGCTGCTCATTGAAACATAACTGAGGGGGAACAAAAAAAAACATATTTTTTATCTCTTAAATTGATAAAAACCTATCTTGAAATGAAAACAAATATTTTGTTTGTAAAATAGGTACCGGATAATGACACAGAGTTGGCAGCATCAACCAGAAGACAGACCAAACTTCTCAACTATTCTGGAGAGGATTGACTATTGTCTGCAGGTACTACATCTTATAACCTTGTCTGTTAATGCTGGGCAACAGTAGGTTTGTTTGAAGCAGCATTTTTTCATTTCTGTATTGCAATATGCATTATGTATACTGTGCACAGGGAATTTGCCAAAGCATGCAGAATACAGCCGTGCACATCAAACACAATTTAATCTTCTTAATTCGTTAATTTAATTTAATTTGTGTAAAATATTGGATTTCAAATAAGGTACAATACTATCTTTTCAGTGTTTTTAATCTAATTTATTCTTATGTTAGGATTTACTATTATTTTATTTTGTAACTGGGAAGTTTGACTGCTGGTATAAATTACAGACTCTCCAATTCCCCTAGGACCCAGATGTGGTGAATGTGCCTTTGCCTGTTGAGTACGGCCCCATCCCTGAGGAAGAGGAGAGGGTACCCATGCGTCCCGATGACCCATCGGCCCCCTCCTTGCTTGTAACCCCTCAGGGCACTGAGGAGGCTTCATCTGCCGCCCACTCCGATCAGCCTAAGAGAGATGGGGAGGCCGTTCTCGTGGCCAGCCACTCCTCTGAGAGCAAACTCCCACCCGCTCCCCAATCTCAGCCTCACCCCCATCACCACCACCAACCCCCGGTAGTCACTGCCCCTATACCAGCTGCCAAACCTTCCTCTGCAACTCCCTTGACCACCCAAGATGGAGGGCATGTGAATTTGGGCTTCATGCAGGCCCATCTATCGGAGAAGGAGAGCCGTAACGGGAAGCCCACCAACCTGTGGAACCCCACCTATGGCTCGTGGTTTCTACAGCAGCAACAGAAGAGACAGCAGGCCCAGGCACAAAGGCAGACAAGCGGCCCACGGATCCCAGGTGAAGGGCAGGAACAAGCAGGCCGGACTGTGACAGTAGCTGAAGCTCTGGGCCTGCAGCAACAGCACAAACAGCAGCAGTACCAACAGCAGCTCCAGCGCCAACAGCAGCAGCAGCAGCAACAACAAGGCCTGTGTCGACCGCTTTTGCCCCCTCCTCCCCCACCTGCCCCGACCCCTTTACTTCTGGATTCGGCCAGCCTAGCACCGGTTCCACTCTACAGACTACGGCGCTTCCCATGTGGGAACATCGGGTATGGCTACCAGGAGCAGGGCCTGCCCATGGAGCCCATGCCGGGGCCCCAGCCTCCCCCGACTCATCCTGGCCAGCAGAGGCCCATCTCTTTAGCTCGGGCCAGCGGCCCTGAGGACAGCCGCCCACTTTTGGTCACCATGGGTACAGTGCAGGACTCCAGACTGCCAAAAATGGAAGGGCACAACGCCACTGTGCTGTAACCATGCACGTTCTCTATCAGTGCCCACTTTGCAAAACACTGTGCTGTCCATTTACGTCCACCTTTGCCAAGCCCCTTTGTGCTTTATCTTTGTGCTTTTCAGCCATGAGACTGGGACTGGAAATGTTCTGCTCTGGAAACTCAGAGAAACTACGTTTCACTGAAAGAGAATGATTGTCACTTGGATAAAGTAACAAGACTGTTGAGTTTCTGAAAGCCGCAATTGAGAGACAAAAATAAACTGATTAAGCCCTCACAAGGACAAATTCTGTAAAAAAGACTAAATTATATCAGTGATATTTTTCCATAATGGGGGAGAAAAAAATAAAACGGGTTTGTTGATGTTTGCTTGCCTGCTTGTTTATTTATTCATTTGTTAATTTATTATTTGGAGGTCATGTAAATTATTAATGGGTGTGCTTCAGAAAGCAAACTGCCCCCATTCAATATGTATCATTTGTTCATTCTTGGACTTGGCTGACTTTTAAACGCAGCTGTTTTCATCCATCATCAAACAACATGAATAACAGAAAACTCTAATGGCTCATGTGTGTGAAACTGATGAGTGTTTATGGCTTTTGGTGATCAGATAACCTGTTGCTATGGTGTTGAAACTGAAAGATGTAGCAAACTGGTCAGTGACCATTGAATGAAGGCTCTTTCACAGGACTCGTGTTAGGGATTTAAACCGTGAAAATAGCATTGAAACAACATTTATTCATTTAAACCCTGTCAGTTGCTTTGATATATTACAAAAACTGGTCAAAGGTCAAGCTTGTTTAACCCCTCTGAATGCCACAATATCCTTGTTGAGAAGATTATCCTTGTTGAGAGCTTAAGCTAGCGTGAATTTCCAGGTTTGGTGCTGTTTTGGATCAGCAAAGCCAGCATAGCCAAGAGGTTCACCAGCACATCTTAGCTGTTGAAGGTTATTAACCAGCATGGTATTTCTGGTAAACCTGCTTAGCTAATGAAGTTTTGTTGGTTAAGTAAGTTATGAAGATTGGTTGGAGCATCAGCCTATCAAAACATCAAATAATGTTCTTTTTAGCATGGAACAGCCTTTGACATTTTGCTGTACTTGATGTATCTAGTATGGCTAAACCACCCACATAATGATACATCTTGCAAATTGTTCAGTAACCATGAACTGCATTTTGAAATGCCAGCAGCAAGTGGCTTTAAAATTGTTTTAACACTCAGCATCAGTAAAAAGTCTGTCTTGCATACAACACAAGACCAGTATGACGCTGTAGACTTACAGAGTTCAATGCATTAGGGAATGTTGATTTGTTTGAAAGGGCTTTGAGTTGTATGAAACTTTAGCATTGGCTGTGTAAGAATACATTTCAGCATTTTATTTTAATATCCATCATTCCATTCGTTTTCGATTTGGCATTTAGCATTGAAAAAAGAAAAATCTGTGTACATAAGAGCCTTACACCTGTTTGCGCAGAATAACTGTTTCATGCTCTCTTGATTCCTGTATCTTTAATTGAAGGACTTTTTTTAAGCGTACTGAAAATAAATTTTTCACATATTATTTGTCACTTTAATGTCTAAACATTAATTATTTTTGTCTTATTGCTTACTGTTCAGTTCTATCAAGCTGCTATTTCAAAAGCAAATGTTGGATGGTCTTTTTATACTATCAGAAAGAACTGTTGCAGTGTCTTTGATAGTGAAGGTTTTACAAAGGAATATCTTGTGGCAATTTTGTAAACTATTTTTTGTTAAATAGTGGTCTCATTGTGAAAAATAAATTGTTTTATCTTTATTTTTCATTATTTTATTTTTAATGATAATTGTATCTTTATTTTTAACCTTCATATAAAGTTCTATATTAATACCATCACAGAATATTAACTGAAATGTTTAAAATGTTTGACTCATTTATATCCCTCTTGACTTTATGATATAATTTACAATGTCATGGACACTTTGTTAGCATTGATGCTACACTGTTTACCATAAATGGTATATTTAAATGTAAAATGCTACATTTTTGAGAGAGAGAAATATTTGTTGACTTAAATTACTTGTTCGGTTCACAGCTGAGGTTTGAAGATGTCTGATACAGTTTATGGAAGAGTCATGAGTGTTATTGCATGAAGATAAAAAAAAAGGATTTTTATTGCTATTATAATTTATTTTCTTTCTTTCTTTTTCTTTTTCTTTTTCTTTTTCTTTTTCTTTTTCTTTTTCTTTTTCTTTTTCTTTTTCTTTTGCTTATCGCAATGACAAAGTGACCACACTTGTAAAAATGTTGTAAAACCTTATTGTATCATGTATCTGTTAATCACTGTAATTTGACATTCAATGATGAGATCTGAGAAATTAATAAATTACTATTTAATAAGTTTGGCATTGCTCTCAAACACAAAAGGTTTGAAGATGTCTGATACAGTTTATGGAAGAGTCATGAGTGTTATTGCATGAAGATAAAAAAAAAGGATTTTTATTGCTATTATAATTTATTTTCTTTCTTTCTTTTTCTTTTTCTTTTTCTTTTTCTTTTTCTTTTTCTTTTTCTTTTTCTTTTGCTTATCGCAATGACAAAGTGACCACACTTGTAAAAATGTTGTAAAACCTTATTGTATCATGTATCTGTTAATCACTGTAATTTGACATTCAATGATGAGATCTGAGAAATTAATAAATTACTATTTAATAAGTTTGGCATTGCTCTCAAACACAAAATGTGTATTAAAAAAATAAGCAGAAGTAACACATCTCACAGAAGACAACGTTGACAAGCTGAAACATGGTTTTGAGTCTAAATCATGACTTTTGGGTGAAAGTAATATTAGGCTAATAAATTAGGTAGTTTCATAAAAAAAAAAAAAAATGTTCTCTTTCAACAGTAAAAAAAAAAAACTTGTCTGTGGTACGGGCAATAACTAGTGTTGGAATATTTGTCATATTTCACGTTATGATCAAGGCTATTGATCATAAGCAGTTTCATTCATTTTAGAAGGTGTCATTTCACAACGTAACTGCTAAAAACTACATTTAGTCATTTTGCAAACGCTTTTATCCAAAGCGACTTACAATTGGGGAATACATAAAGCGATTCATCTTAAAGAGGCACACAGTCACAGGAAGTGCTTGTAATACCAAGTTTCAGGCATCGTTTAAATCAGTACAAGCTAGAAAGGGAAGGAATAAATAAAGAAAAATATATTTTTTTTTAATTTAGGATGAAGTCAAGTAGTGTCAAAACAGATAAGTTTTCAGCTGTCGCTTGAAAATTGTCAAGGACTCAGCATTCCGGATAGGGGTGGGAAGATCATTCCACCAGCCAGGAGTGGTGAACGAGAATGTTCTGGAAAGTGATTTTGAGCCTCTCTGTGATGGTACTACGAGGCGTCACTCACTAGCAGATCTCCGACTTCTGGAGGCGACTTACAATTGGGGAATACATAAAGCGATTCATCTTAAAGAGGCACACAGTCACAGGAAGTGCTTGTAATACCAAGTTTCAGGCATCGTTTAAATCAGTACAAGCTAGAAAGGGAAGGAATAAATAAAGAAAAATATATATTTTTTTAATTTAGGATGAAGTCAAGTAGTGTCAAAACAGATAAGTTTTCAGCTGTCGCTTGAAAATTGTCAAGGACTCAACATTCCGGATAGGGGTGGGAAGATCATTCCACCAGCCAGGAGTGGTGAACGAGAATGTTCTGGAAAGTGATTTTGAGCCTCTCTGTGATGGTACTACGAGGCGTCACTCACTAGCAGATCTCCGACTTCTGGAGGGGATGTAGATTCATAATAGTGACTGGAAGTAGGTGGATGCTGAGCCTGTGGCTGTTCTATATGCAAGCATCAGTGTCTTGAACTTAATGCGAGCCGCAACCTGTAGCCAGTGCAAGGACATAAGGAGAGTTGTAACATGGGCTCTTTTGGGCTCGTTGAAAACCAGTCATGCCACTGCATTCTGAATCATTTATAGAGGTTTGATTGTGCTTGATGGAAGTCCAGCCAGAAGAGCATTGCAGTAGTCCAGCCTAGAGATGACAAAGGCCTGGACAAGAAGTTGTGCAGCATGCTCCGTTAGAAAGGGCCTGATCTTTCTGATGTTGTGCAATGCAAACCTGCAAGATCGAGCGGTCTTTGCAATGTGGTCTTTGAAGGTCAGCTGGTTATCAATTGCAGTAGTCCAGCCTAGAAATGACAAGGGCCTGGAAAAGAAGTTGTGAAGCATGCTCCGTTAGAAGAGGGCCTGATCTTTTGGACGTTGTGTAGTGCAAACCTGCAAGATCGAGCAGTCTTTGCAATGTGGTCTTCGAAGGTCAGCTGGTCATCAAAGATTACACCAAGATTTCTGACCGAAGTTGATGAGGTAATTGTAGAAGAACCTAGCTGGATGGTGAAATCTTGGAGTGGAAGAGAAGACAAGAAGCTCAGTCTTTTCCAGGTTGAGCTGTAGGTGATGTTCTTTCATCCATGCCGAGATGTCTGCCAGCCAGCCTGATATCCGTGCAGCTACCATTGGATCATCTGGTTGAAATGAGAGATAGAGCTGTGTGTCATCAGCATAGAAATGGTAGGAGAAGCCATGTGCCTGTATGATGGGACCCAGTGATGTAGTGTATATGGAGAAGAGGAGGGGTCCAATAACTGATCCCTGAGGAACCCCGGTGACCAGTTGATGTGCTTTGGATACCTCCCCAGGTCACACTGAAAGACCTACCAGTGAGATAGGATTCAAACCAGCAAAGTGGGATCCTTGTGATGCCCAGTGATGAGGGTGTACCATGAGAATCCGGAGGACAGGAGGATCCGATGATTGACAATGTCAAAAGCAGCAGATAGATCCAGCAGAATTAGAACTGATTATGTGGAATCAGCTTTTGCAATCCGCAAGGCTTCCATGACTGACAGTAGTGCAGTCTCAGTTGAATGGCCACTCCTGAAACCTGACTGGTTAGTGTCCAGTTTGTTGTTCTCTGAAAGGAACAATGATACCTGGTTGAAAACAACTCATTCAAGGGTTTTCGTTATGAATGGAAGGAGAGAGACAGGTCTGTAGCCATCTATAAGTGAAGTGTTTAATGTAGGTTTTTTGAGCAGTGGGTTACCCGAGCCTGACTGCAATGGGGAAGGTGCCTGTGAGGAGAGATGTGTTGATGATGTGTGCGAGTGCTGGTAAGAGTGTAGGAGAGATTGCTTGGAGAAGGTGTGAGGGGATTGGGTCTAGAGGCCATGTTGTAAGATGGCTGGAGAGGAGAAGTCTCGATACTTCTGCCTTAGTGAGGGAACAGAAGGAGAAGATGGGAGTTTTAGCAGTGGGTGTGGTTGGTCTGAGGTCCTGTGTGTGTGGGGCTGAGAACTGACTACTGATTGTTCTAGTTTTGTCTGTGAAGAATGTGGCGAAATCATCAGCTGTTATAGAAGT